CAACCAACAACTTAAATATATTTTATATTTTTATGTAACAAGATATGCTAAATGAGTATGCAAAAGGTAGGTAGATCTCATAATTATGTACATGATATACACAACTATAATGTACACGTAAAATTAACCACAACCATGAAATATTTTTAATTTTTTATGAAATCGAAAATAAAATATTAAGTAGGTAGGTAGGTACTTTACTTACAGATTTATTAAATTGATCATCTTTGGAATCAATCATATTTTTTATAAAAAATCGAAAAGACAATAATGAAATTACCTAGGTATTTAATACACTACTAACTATTTGATATAATAGTTAAATACAAAGTAAAAAATGTTCTATTACTATTACTTTATAAAATATCATAAAATTAAATAATATTTGAAAACAATATCATTATTGTTATCATTTTTTTTTCATTTTCATATTTTGTTGATTTTTAATTTTTCTTGATACCAATAAAATATTTGATAAAAATATATAATTATATATATATTTTTTATGACGAAATGTATAAAATAAACTTTAACTGTCATAAACGGATGTCATTATGTAAGTTAGTCCACTTAAGCCATTGATAAGAAAATATACAACCGTAATGTCCATCCATATACCATATACCTACAATAGATTATTTTATCAGTCATCATTTATCTACAAAATTTACTTCAATACATTTGTTCGAACTCGGTATCTTTTTAATTGCCCGCCGGTTCAGAAAAAGGTACATCTTCTCTCCCGCCGCCACCGGACTCTGCTATCGTCTTATATTTATCTTGTGTGCGATATAATCGTCGCGAGACCGATATGGATCCGGTTGGTTTTGCCCGTCGACCTTTTCAATATAATGTACTTTTTTTCAGTCTCTTTTTGCAACCACCGGACGGTACATATCTGGGTGTGTTGCCCGTCGCCTTCACGCGTGTTGTGACGTAAAACCTTTTTTTTTTGAAAGGCGACCTAGTTGGTCGTATATGCATATTGTTCTTTTTTATATATAATCTTGTGCGTGCCGCCGTGTGCCGCCGCCATAAACCTCGGTGGTTATTTTTGGTTGTACCATATACGTGACGGACTTCATCGTTTGGACCAGCATCATCCGTCAGTGGACTGACGATCATATTTTCATATCCGGAAGAAAGTGCGGAATTTACCAGGTCGTCCTTTTGGTTGTCTATATTTCATATTTCTTAATATTATTGTGTATCACGTTACGTGAATCTAATTATATACTGTTTCCCCTTTTTTATTTTATATACCTATATATAATATATATATGTTTACGATATTTCGATAATTTTTTGGGCGCCCTTTTTTAATCAATTATTATATTAATCATTGTGTTGAAATATATATTTTTTATTACACTGTATTTCTATAATTGTATATATTATACTGCTTAGAGTAACCTCTTTTATCCTTAACACATCGCGAGTCGTGGCAGCAAACGCCTAAGAATTGCAAGTGCTGTCCCGGCGATAACAACATTTATAAATACATTAATGTTATTAATTTTTTTTTAAATAAGAATTGATTTAAGTATTCTGCTATTTTAGAACTATTTAATTTACTTTCGAAATTTATTGTATACTCTCGAGAACAAACTCCCAGACGCTGTGTGTAGCGCGGGACGATATTTCATTTATTGCACGCACGTTTGTTTGTGCATTATGCAAATATCATAACAACGCACAGTGCATACAAAACAAGGCGCTTTTATTAGACTTCAGTAATCGTTATTGCGAATTTTTACTATAAAACGATTAATTAATAAAATAATTAATAATAAAAATAAATCTACTTGTTAAAAATATTTTACTTTTTCTAAGGTGAAAGTTAAAATAGAAGTATAATAAATATTATAGCTGTTATATAATAGATTTATTAATTTTTTTTAATGTAAATTCATACTTTTAAAATTGAAAATTTTGTTTACGCAAAATAATAGAAAATTAACAAACATTCTTTGATTATTACTTAATCTTCAAAAATATTATACATAATATACTCGAAAATTTATAAAAATTACTGAATTATATTTCTTATACTCTCTAGGTATGGAGAAATAGGGTTTTAAATTGTACATAACTCTGATAATAAGTTATTCATCACTCCAATACCTTATACTAGGATTAATAGCAGATCCGTTAGTAAAGATACATTAATATGGAACACTTCACTCACCCCAATTGTAGAGTGATGAAAGACAAATAAATCGATTAAAATTCTTGTGTAATGTAAGTGACGGCGCAAACGCAGTCCCAGCTACCAAAAATTATGCGTCCTAGGTATCTACATTAGGGATACTCGCAGGAGTCAACCCAATCGATGTGCAATAACCGGGCCCACCCTGGAAGGACCGCCTAAATATTGATCACGGTTGACCTCTACGCCAAGTAATTATGCTCGATCTGACTGCTGGCAGCTGTTATATGCTATCTAACATCCTATCACTATTTACACACCATTGTACTGTCCATCGTCCCGTAACTTTAAGTAATAATTAACTCTTAACGTTAAAACGTCCAAAAAAATTAATTTTTGGGCCCAGAAGTTCATATTTTAGGGCTATTGATTGTCGGCTGCTGATCAGTTACAAACGATTATAAATAGAAGCGCTATCTAACGGCTAATTTCAGCAACGAAAAAATCTGCACTAAACGCTTCATAATTATTGAATTCCTACGCCACGACAGACGACTTGGCTTGACTAAATCGCAAGTTCTGAATACTCGATATCATACGATACCAATAAGGCGGCGTGTGTTAAGTTTGAAACGATTTGCGCGTACGTCAACAAGTCACTACAAACGCATCATTCGGTAGATGATAGACGTATCTGGCAACAGTGTAGGAAATCAAAGTCCAAGCAAAATATTTTTCAGATTACTTTTTCCGTTAAAGAAACTTTAAATAATGTTCATTATTTTGGTAATATGGAAAATGTGAATTAATTAATTATTAATTAATTCACATTTTCCATTTCGATTGAAATCGAATGAATCTGGTATATTTCAGTATAATATTAATATTAACAAGAATTATTCTTCACGGTCAATATGATAGCAATTATAGGTAATAGTAATTCTTGTGAAGTTATGCTTGTAATATAATTAATATAAAATTTGGAAATTTAATTCCATGACATTCTCAAATCTCCGCAAATACTTTCAATTTCATAATTACTTCCCCACCCACATATAGTATGGACAACGAAATGTATTACGCGATAATACTACCTTGTAATTTTATTATCTAACACCTTATAACTATTAATTACTCATATTTACCTAACTCGATCATATTAATCCGCACAAGTCGAAAATATTACAACATTCACAATTGCAAGGCAAGTGTTATATATTCTTGATCAACCATAATGTAAAAAACTGCAAACCTAGGCGTGCGCAAACCTCACTATTGAATGGGGAAGCGGAGACAGGATATTTGGTAACATAGATAATGCTTGTTAATTACTATTATCTCTATAAAGAAAACTTATAAATATCAGTTATGGTTCGAGATTATCTTATATTTGGGAAAAATACTTGAATTAAAGAAAAAAGTCTAGCTCACAAAAAGGATAGCTGTTTCTTTCGTGCGCACGATTTAACAATAAAAATTAAACGAGCAGACAAATTCGTTTTTTTTAAGAATGTATTTTTTTTACAAAATAAAACAGAAGAACGTTCTATAAAAATCGATGCAAATTAGTGTATTATATAAAACTATAGTTTTTATAATTAATAGATTTATCTGATTGATTAGATAAGTTCGGATTTATCTGATGTTTATTGAAAATAATAGGTAATAAAAATAAAAATAAGTAATATGCATATATTTTACAATTTAAGTGTGAAATATATTTTTGCTTTCCACTGAATATAAATAATGTTTACGTAGAAAACAAAAAAATAATAATTGTGAGAAAAAACAGATATATTTTTCAGTTCATGTCGGTTCAAGTCCAATGCATATTTATAAAATGTATACAGAACATAGACTAACTAACAGCGTCCTGCATTTTTCATAGAACTCTAAGTTTTAAATAAGTTTAACATTCATAAAAGAAAGTCACATTTTTACAGCAAATCTTACTAGATAATTAGATAATGATTTTAAAAAAATAATATAAACTGAACAAGTCATGTCGTCGATTTCTAAAAATGTCTAGTAATAAATTATAACACACTAACAATGAATATTACATTGATAAACCAAAATATTATTCCGATATGTGAATCGTTATGTCACGGCCGTGATGGCGAAAACGTTCACAACGATTTGGTGGACTAATAGCGAGACCTGTCATTGAAAAATGACAGTCAGGAACTCGATGGTCGCAGTCGGTAGATGGCGCGGACGAACACGATCGTTTGAGACACTAGTGGCCGACGGGCCGTGGCCGGAATTCCGGCCTAAAGAAACGTGCTTGGTGTGTAGCTAATCTCTCAAAATTTGCAAATAAATGTCGGAAGTACGTCTCAAACGGCAGTGGTAGGATCGGAAACCGTCGACTACGTATTAAGTCGTAATCGGTGCACTACGCTTTTGCAACTGTCACGCGGAAGCCTAAGGACATAAGTACGACGTTATTGGACACGAACGATATACTTACTTGGCGTCGAGGTTAACCGTGATCAACGAGGCGGTTCCTCCAGGACGAGACCAGTCCATTGCACACCGGGCTGGTTGACTCCTGCGAGTATTCCACTAGTGAATACCTCGGACGCGTAATTTTTGGTAGCAGGGATCGCGTTCGCGCGTCCCACATATTCTCAAATGTGAAAATCGTAGTATGAATTAATTGCTTAGGTACCACTATAACATCATTACTTATAAATGTTATCACCTATTTATATACGTACAGGTTGCATTTCATATTTTTGAAAGTCTTAGCAAATGTTGAGCTAGGAGGAGGACCTACCTTAGACAAAGCTAGACCTTTAATTATTAATTAAATTAAACGAAGAGCCAATAACTATTTTGTTTTAAAACAATTCTTATAAATTCGTTTTAAACACAGTAGGAATAACATGTTTTAAGATAGGTACTTATTATTTTATTTTTTTTTGTATAATTATAATATCATCAATGATTCATTAAAAAATTTACAGTTAAAAAAATCAACCTGGCAATTTATAAAATATAAAACAAATACTTATGGATAATGTCAACCAACAACTTAAATATATTTTATATTTTTATGTAACAAGATATG